GTCTCAACCATTTGGCTCACTCAACCACCAACACTCGAGATCAACGTCTCGAAACATACAACACCGTCCACTACGGTCAACAATCCTGACCAACCCGGCCAGCACTATCCGAGATGCCCACTCGAATCACACAATACCGTCACACTACGGTAACCCTCCTGACCAAACCCAACCAGCACCATCTGAGATCCCCACTCAATCACACAATACCGTCGCACTACGGTAACCCTCCTGACCAAACCCGGCCAGCACCACCTGAGATCATCCACCGATCCCTGAAACTCATCCAGTCTCATACCTATCATAACGTTTCAGACATTAATTGCTCATCACTTATATATACACCCCTCACACTCTCTGGATCATCACCCTTTGAGCTCGGTGTATATCATACCCCTCCCACCTTCTGGACCGCTGTCCGTCAGGCTATCGGTATGCTTCATGCCCATCTCACTCTCGGAACACACAGTCCGTCAAGCTATCGACATGCAGGGAATATCACTATTCCCTGGAGAGAAATCATTATCCCTCTGAGTATATGCAGGGAAAATCATTATCCCCTGGAGAGAAATCACTATCCCTCAGTGTATATGCAGGGAAAATCACTATCCCCTGGAGAGAGATCTCTATCCCTTAAGTATATGCAGGGAAAATCACTATCCCCTGGAGCAAGCAATTCTACAACGTGCATCCTAAGCACCTATTGACCAAATCCTTCATGTGGTTCCATCATGACATTCCCTAACCCGGAATATCATCATCACTATGACCAATCACTAGGCCATCCGAAACAACCCAATCACTAGGATGTTTCTACTCTAGTCTCTAGGGAAAAAAATAGACAGTTCTAACTCACATAAAACTTCTATTCCCCAGACTCCCAGAAATAGACAAGTCTAACTCACATAAACTTCCCATTTCCATCCTTACACATAACCTATGACTCACCCGTCATACCATAAAAACTCACATCTTATGCAACTCAACCATAAGAACTACACATCTTATGACCACATTAAT